TCGCCTGGGGTCACCAAGGGAGTGGCGCGGCGAGTGGGTTTGGGGTTGCGGGTTTGAGGGCTTAGGTCTGAGGGTTTGCGAGCTCCAGACCTCCAAGCATGGGGCCTGCCTTCGTTTTGGCCCATGGCAGGTTCCCTAAATGAGGGAACCCTCGCGCCTAGTGGGGGACCTGAAAACCCCCAAACCCTAAAACCCTAAAACCCTAAGACCCCAAACCCCAAACCCCACACCCCAAACCCCAAACCCCAAACCCTAAACCCCAAACCCTAAACCCTAAACCCCAAACCCCAAACCCAAACCCTAAACCCTAAACCCCCCAAAAGGGGCCATCCTCTAGAACTACCCCACCACTCCCCCCCTTTCCATGCAAGCGCTGGAGGCCTGGGGCTTGACTAAACCCGAAACCCTAAACCCTAAACCCTAAACCCTAAACCCTAAAACCCTAAACCCTAAACCCTAAACCCTAAACCCTAAAGCCCTGGGCCCTAAACCCTAAAATCCCAAAACCCTAAACCCTAAACCCTAAACCCGGGACCTTGGAGTGCTAAGGGCCTTGGGGCCTCGGCCCACAATGTTGCAGTCCTGAGCCATAAATCTCTGAAGTTTCAGAACTGTCAACCCGAAATCCCTAATAACCCCTAAGCTCAAACCCTGAACCCCAAACCCTAAAACCTCAACCCTCAACCCTAAACCCCAAACCCTAAGCCCCAAACCCCAAACCCTAAACCCTAAACTTGGGGCGTCGGGCGCCGCGGGGCGACACGGGACCGGCCGGGAGCGGAACCATGGTCAACGCCGGAGGCGCCTCTGGAGGCTTTCAGGTTCAGGGTTCCGAGTCCTAAACCCTAAACCCTAAACCCTAAACCCTAAACCCTAAACCCTAAACCCTAAACCCTCACCTCTAATAGTCCAAAAGTTTGAGGCTTTAGGGTCTAAGGGTCCCAGGGGTAACGGTTTCAGGCTGAGCCCGAAACCCTCAGCCCGAAACCCCGAAGCCTGCACCCCCTTACCCTGACTCGTCCCTCTGCGACCTCATATGGGAGTTTACGCAAAAAACAGGGACCCCTATATAAGGGACCCCCAAATCGTCGGATTCCCTTAGAATAAGGACCCCAAGAAGGTACCCCTAATTTCGGAAACCCCCATATGGCACACCCTGCAGGCCCATGCTTAAGAAGCCAACCCTAGACCCTCGAGCAACCTTAGCAACCTTGACAAGCCCTAAAACCTAGGACGTACCAACTTGGCAGGAGCTTTTGAGAAGTTGCACAGTCTTTAGGGTTGAGGGTCTGGGGTTTAGAACTTTGGGGTTTAAAGTCCGGGTGTATGACACGAACTTCTGCGTCACATCTCATCCAAGTGAACACGCACATTATCATAATGTCCTAAGCTGTTGGCCTCGCAACAGTTTTGTCCTGCATGCTACGCTGAACCCTAATTCCTAAACCCTGAACCCCAATTAGACTTCCCCCCGTTCGTTTCGAATAAGTCAGATTATTGCAAGGTCGCAAACCTCAAACGCCAAAAGTAGGCAGCCTTCCCCCTTTGGCCAGCGGCCGACGGCCTCCTCGAACCCAAACCCCCAAAGCCCCCGATCCTCTGCCCAGCACCCTCAGACCTCATACCCCTATACCCGATCCTCTAAGTCTGAGACCGGGAGTTTTAGGCGCTTGGGACTTTTGGGGCGTTGAAGGTCCTTCAGGGCCATCTGCTCACACCCTAAACCCTAAACCCTAAACTCTAAACCCTAAACATCCCTAAACCCTAAATGGCGCCTTCATCTCTTCAGCAGGCGCCGGGGCCTGGAATGACTCCTGGGTCGGATTCAGGGGGTCTAGGGTCTCGGGTCTGGGTCTAGGGTTTAGGGTTTAGGGTTAGGGGTTAGGGTCTAGGGTCTAGGGTCTAGGGTCTAGGGTCTAGGGTCTAGGGTCTAGGGTCAGGGTCTAGGGTCTAGGTTCTGGTCTAGGGTCTAGGGTCTAGGGTCCAGGGTCTAGGGTCTAGGGTCTAGGGTCTAGGGTCTAGGACAAGGGTCCAGGGTCCACACAGTCTGCAGCATGTGCACAAATCACGGGTCTCACACGCTTGGCGACAAGCGTCAGGACAGCTTTGCCCACCGGATCTTGCAGGCTGATAGGTCGAAAATCTGAAGGTACTCGACCTGGTTTGCTAGGTTTGCAAAAGAGTGTCAGCCATCCATCCTTCCAGTTTTGTGGAACATCAGGTTGAGTCCCAGACCATTGTTTTGCCAGTGCAGGAGCAATGAGCCATGCCAATGTCGTTTTGGCTGCCTTCCATACCGGCCCAGGTGCCATGTGTTTCGGGGTGGCTTTGTTTTGATGGCAGCAAGTGAGCATTCAACCTCCTCCACGGAGGGGTCCAGGGTCCAGGGTCCAGGGTCCAGGGTCCAGGGTCCAGGCTAGGGTCTAGGGTCTAGGGTCTAGGGTCTAGGGTCAGGGTCCAGGGTCCAGGGTCCAGGGTCTAGGGTCTAGGGTCTAGGGTCTAGGGTCTAGGGTCTAGGGTCTAGGGTCTAGGGTCTAGGAGGGTCTAGGGTTAGGGTGTCTTGTGTGAGGGTTTAGGGTGCGGGTCGTGCGTTGCAGCTGCTTTTCGAAGGCTGTGGGGCAGCGGCATCGATGACCTACCACAAAAACCCTAAACTCATACAAAACCCGAAAACCCTAACCCCAAACCCGAAAACCCAAAACCCTAAAACCCTTTTACCTAAAACCCCTAAAACCCTAAAACCCCGAAACCCTAAACCCTAAAAACCCAGAAAGCCCTAAACCCCTAGTGGCGGGCTTCAACCGGCAGGCGGGCTTGTGGCCTGCATGGCCACGAACGGGGGCTGAAGGCCCAAACTTGGGCTTTAGAGGTTTAGGGATTTAGGGGTTTAGGGGGTTAGGGGTTTAGGGGTTTAGGGGTTTAGGGGTTTAGGGGTTTAGGGGTTTAGGGGTTTAGGGGGTTTAGGGGTTTAGGGAAATAGGGCTTCGGGGTTTTGGGGTTTAGAGTTTCTGGTTTGGGGTGTTAGGGTTTGCGGTTTGGGGACTAGGGTTTTTAGGGCTTCATGTAACCCTCCTGGAGGGGGCTCAGCCTGATTGGGGTATACTTAGGGTTCAGGGACTAGTGGGTTTAGGGTTTAGGGTTTAGGGTTTAGGGTTTAGGGTTTAGGGTTTAGGGTTTCGGGTCTCGGGTTCCGGGTTTAGGGTTTAGGGTTTAGGGTTTAGGAGCTTAGGGAGGTATACCTCCGGCTTGGGTTGCGTTGGGCTCCTAAACCCTAAACCCACTACATTTCAAGTGGGCCCTTTGTAAGCTATGGTCTGACATGCGGGCTTTGAAGGTTTAGGGTTTAGGGTTTAGGGTTTAGGGTTTAGGGTTTAGGGTTTAGGGTTTAGGGTATTACAGTCCTCTTGCGGAGGTGGAACAAAAGCGCGGTGTCCGAGGATTCAGGCTTCAGGGCTTGGGGTTTTTGAGGGCCTTAAACCCGAAACCCCAAACCCTATACCCTAAACCCTAAACCCTAAACCCTATACCCTAAACCCTAAACCCTAAACCCTAGACCCTTAACGTGGCGGCAGTAAGGCACAGGCAGGAACGGGTGGAACCAGGCTGCTTGCCATCGGCAGCGCCGCGGGCGGAACCTCGGGCCAAAGTGTCAGGGCTTAGGGTTTAGGGTTTAGGGTTTAGGGTTTAGGGTTTAGGGTTTAGGGTTTAGGGTTTGGGGTTTGGGGTTTAGGGTTTAGGGTTTAGGGTTTAGGGTTTAGGGTTAGGGTGCCCAACATCCTCGGTGAAAAGGGATCAAAAGGCTGTCATCCAGATGCATTGGCTCAGGCTTGAGGCTTCAAGAGGGTTCAGGGGCTAGGGTTAGCTGGGGTCAGGGGATCTGGGCGTTTATGGCTTTAGAGCCACATCGGCCTTCGCGGAAAAATCACTCAACCCTAACCTAAACCCTCAACCCCAAATCCGAAACCCTGAACCCTGAACCCTAAACCCTGAACCCTAAACCCTAAACCCTAAACCCTAAACCCTAAACCCTAAACCCTAAACCCTACAAGAGCGCCCAATATCTCTGAACTCAGGAGAGTAGATTCCTCAATTCTTTAGTTTTCAGCTCGCGGACCCCTCTATGGCCAGCTAGGGTTTAGGGTTTAGGGTTTAGGCGGTTTAGGGTTTAGGGTTTAGGGTTTGGGGTTTAGGGTTTAGGGTTTAGGGTTTAGGGTTGTTACACACCGCCTTGAACCCCCCTCCCTTAAGAACCCCACCCGGAACCCTGAACCACCTAGCAGAGTCCTGAACGCAGGGCGGGTCCCTACTATGATACGGCCTTAACCCTAAACCCTGACCCTAAGGTCCCTACTATGATGTGGCTTTAAACCCTAAACCCTAAGCCCTAACCCGTCATTAAATCCTAAACCCTAAACCGTTAAACCGTTGTAAAATGAGCGTGAGTTAGCGAACTGACACATTGCAGCGACTGCGCAAACCTTTGTCGTGTGCCTTGAGCCGCGCGCTGCAGCTCCACCGCAAAAGCCGACGTTGACAAGGGGGATGTCCGAAAATCGGTGCTGAAGTCGTGCGTTCTGGGTTGGGGTTCGGGGTTAGGGTTGGTTTGGAGCTTAAGGAGCTACTCTTCATGATTCAGAGGTCGTAGGGCGCCAGATGCACCGCAAGGGCTGGTAAGTTTCGGACATGTCCCGGTGGCATCCTGCACATATTCGCGGATGGAAAATCTGAACCTGCCCGCCAGTTTGGCGCGCAAGTGGAACTAAACTGTCGGCTGGACCTTTGCGCAGCCTCACCTAGCACCCCTCCTAAACCTCAGGGCCCCGGTTGCTCTGTCCGTTGGGGCGGCAGACGTCCCCTCAAGCTCGGCCAATGGGTTTGGGGTTCAGGGCTTCAGGAAGGGGATGGGTTTGAGGTAATTCTGACTAAACCCTAAACCCTAAACCCTAAACCCTAGAGTGTAAAGGGCATCGTTTCAGTCCTTCTCTATAACCCTTTGGCCATCACAACCTCCGGGCCACAAAGTAGCCCGGCAGCGCCATGGAGGAGCTCCCCACGACCATGGCAGCCACCGTCACGTCGCAGGTCGCCCCGGGCAGAAAAACCTGCGCGGGGCTCAAAAGGGTTTAGGGTTTAGGGTTTAGGGTTTAGGGTTTAGGGTTTGGGGTTTGGGGACCCAAGCAGCTGTGTTCAGGGCCCCGTTTTGGGGTGCTTTTTGCACTGAACAACTCTGTGTACAATTTGTCTCATGCTCAGCTTGAGAGAGGTTGCAGGTTTTTTTTGTTTCGGGTTTAAGGTTTACTTGGAGGTTCATGGGTAGTTAGTTAAAAGTGCGGGTATCCTAAATAGGGGTTAGAAGTATATGTACCATAATTACTACCCTAACCTCTAAACCCTAAACCCTAAACCCTAAACCCCTAAACCCTACCTAGTAGCTCATGATAACCTTACTTATGACTACCCATGAGCCTCCAGGTAGGTGTGTCTACACGGAGCACATGCATCTGCAGGAGCTTAGCAGGAGGCCACAAGAGTGACACAGGGTTTGTTTGGGTCTAGGGTTTAGGGTTTAGGGTTTAGGGTTTAGGGTTTAGGGTTTAGGGTTTAGGGTTTAGGGTTTAGGGTTTAGGGTTTAGGGTTTAGGGTTTAGGGTTTAGGGCTTAGGGCTTAGGGTTTAGGGTTTAGGGTTTAGGGTTTAGGGGGGTTAGGGCTTAGGGTTTAGGGTTTAGGGTTTAGGGCTTAGGGTTTAGGGCTTAGGGTTTCGGGCTTAGGGCTTAGGGCTTAGGGCTTAGAAAGCTCAGGTTCTTCCTCCGCAAGCCGTGGAGAAGGTGTCCATCACTATCAGCACAGGCTGCCCTAAAACACTCTTCACCCTAACCCTAACTCCTAAACCCTAAACCCTAAATGCTAAACCCTAAACCCTAAGCCCTAAACCCTAAACCCTATACCCTAAACCTAAACCTTTGCGCAACCCTGGACCCGGAATCCTGAGCCCTGAGCCTGAGACCGAAGCCCAAGAGCAGCACGGCCCCTTCACACTTCACCGGAGCCCGCAAAAACCTCCAACTCTTTCAGGGTTTAGGGTTTAGGGTTTAGGGTTTCGGTAGGGTTTGGGGTTTAGGGTTTAGGGTTAACCCAACCCCCCGGGCCTGCAGAAGGAAAGAAGTAAAGAACGCAAGGCCGCTCCTGGTCACCAGCACACTGCTCTGGAACAGTCGAAATCCCAATATCCCCCATTCCCAGGACCTCTAACCCCAGAACCTGAACAACAATACGGTTGCTTGGAAGCTCTTTTGACTTCGTAAGTCTACGTAGCATCCCCTAGAAACCCAACCCAACTTGCTAACCTTACTTACAAAGTCAAAAGGGCTTCCAAACCCTAAACCCCAAACCCTAAGTAGGGTTTTCGGATTTGCGTAGTTGATGGGGCTCGAGGCACTGTGGCTGGGTTTGCGCAGGGGCTTTTTCGGGTTTTGCGGTTCAGCTTTGAGGCCCCCAAACCCTAAACTTGGCATGTTCCCCCTTACACTTTCAGTCCTGAATCTGGATTATACGGGGGGGGGGGGGGGGGGGGGTACTGTAAATCCATCTTAAGGACTGATAGTAGAAGGGGGACATCCCAACCCTAAACCCCAAACCCCAAACCCTAAACCCTAAACCCTAAACCCTAAACCCCAAACCCTAAACCCTAAACCCTAAACCCTAGACCCCAAACCCCAAACCCCAAACCCCAAACCCCAAACCCCAAACCCATCCATTGCGCCCAGCGGCTGCATCATGCAGTTGGCGAAGGCTCCCGAGCTCTCAGCTTCAGAAAACATGTCTGCAAAGACGGCCCGGTTCGCACCCTGGCAGGGACAGGGTTTGGGTTTTGGGGTTTAGGGTTTAGGGTTTAGGGTTTAGGGTGTAGGTTTTAGGGTTTAGGGTTCAGGGTTTCGGGTTAGGGTTTGGGGTTTAGGGTTTAGGGTTTAGGGCTTCGGAAGACATGTCTGCAAAGACGGCCCGGTTGGCACCCTGTCAGTGGCAGGGATTGGGCGCACCAGCTGCAACATCCGGAGCCCCCAAACCTCACCTCACAGGCTTCACCAGGTCCTAAACTCTCCACCCTACAACCCTCAAGCCCTAAACCGTAAACCTGGACCCTATGCCCTGCGACCCCTAAACCCAAAAACCATCCAAAACAACAGCCCTTAAAAAACCCAAACCTAAAACTCCCAAAACTCCAGCCAAAGAATACCTGAAAAACAAAAACAAAACAAAAAAAAACACTTCAAAAAGCAAAACACACAAGAAAAAAGAAGGCCTCGTAGACGCTTCGACCGAGGCCCTGCAGCGCATACAGGACCAGGAGCCAGGAGCCCCAGTAGCGATTCGATTCCTCGGCCAGCTTCATGCGGATGGGCTTTCAAGGTTTAGGGTTTAGGGTTTAGGGTTTAGGGTTTAGGGTTTAAGGTTTAGGGTTTAGAGTTTAGGGTCTTCAGTTTTCAGGGTTTAGGGTTTAGGGTTTTCAAGGATTAGGGTTTGGGGGTGTAGGGTTTTTCGTCTTGCTGGATGTTTTTTTGGGTCTTCAGGGTTCCGGTCTAGCGACCCCTCGGTACGAGACCACGCCGGCCACGTCAAAGAGTGCGGCTGATGGGGGGGGCAAGAAGAAGCGGAGGCAGTATCTGGACGACGAAGGCGAAGTCTCGAACGAAGAGACCCTGGAACTCGCACTGCCGCGCCCCTGCCCTGGGTTTCCCTGGATGGTTTCCTGCCTGGCCCCGCCGTGGGCATGGTTTCGGGTTTAGGGTTTAGGGATCAGGGTCTAGGGTTTAGGGTTTGGGGTTCAGCCAGTCAGGTGGCCACAGCTTTGTCTCGGGGCTCTCGCGCCCTGGAAACCCTAAACCCTAAACCCTAAACCCTAAACCCTAAACCCTAAACCAAAATGGGTTCACCGTCCTCAAAGATTTGGGCTTTGCCTTCTCTCCAGCTCGGGGGGCTGGATCTTGTCCCGGCACTTGATGCTAGGTTGCCCAGTAACCTAGGATTAAAGAGGGTGCCCTTTTTTGCTTAACGGGGTTTATAGGGGAACCTAGAGCCCCCAAAAAAGGGAATAAGGGCACTACTGGGCATCCTAGGATGAGGGTTTGGGGGGCGCAGGGTTTAGTGTTTTGTTCGGGTTGCTAGGGTTGCTAGGGTGTTGTCGGGGGAGTCTAGGCTTTGATTTGAAGGGCTTATGGGCTTAAGGTGTTTGTGGGTTCTATGGGGGGGCTCCGGGATTCAGGGCCTTGCGCGCAGCTGGGAACTACTAGACCTAATCCAAACCCTAGACCCTAAGCCCTAAACCCTAAACGCTAAGCCCTAAACCCTAAACCCTAAACCCCAAACCCTAAACCCTAAACCCTAAACCTTCGGGATAAGGGAAACGCGCAGAGAATCCTGGAAAGAATCCTGCCGAGCATCCCTGGAGTGCCCACACCTAACCAAAAAAATCCGCAAAAAAACCCGGGGCGGATCCCTCAGAGCTACAAATTGGGGTTTAGGGTTTAGAGTTTAGGGTTTAGGGTTTAGGGTTTAGGGTTTAGGGTTTAGGGTTTAGGGTTTAGGGTTTAGGGTTTAGGGTTTAGGGTGCTGTAGGGATTTTTAGGGTTTTGGGTTTAGGGTTTAGGGTTTAGGGTTAGCAGCCCTACGTAGCGTGATTACTTCTAGCCCTACTTATAACTAGCCAAGCACTTCCAAGTATCTCAACTTCGTACCTTTAAGGGGGTCCTGCTGCAAATCTGCAAAAGCGGCCCCCATATTGAACATAGAACAGCCCTCATAGATGCCTTGAAGGTCACTAGCGCGTGCCTGTCTGGGCTTGAGGAAGTCGAGAAATAGCTGTACACACCAAACCCTAAGCCCTGACTCCAAGAGGGTGGCAGCTACTACCGTCGCTGTCGCTCTCTGATTCTCTGCATTTTCCAGCTGCTAAACACTCCGCATAGATCCAGCATGCACCCTAACCTTAAACCAACTGCGGGGCTGAGACCTTAGCTGTTGGGATTGCAAAGGGATGCTATGGGAAGTGTTTAACCAGAAGAGGTTTGCGCCGGGTGGCATTCGGCTGTCCCCAGACGACGGCCAGTGGTATAGCAGCCAGCGCGAGGCTGCCCAGGCCCAGTACAAAGCCCTTGCCTGAGGACAGGGTTGAGGGTTGAGGGTTGAGGGTTGAGGGTTGAGGGTTGAGGGTTGAGGGTTGAGGGTTGAGGGTTGAGGGTTGAGGGTTGAGGGTTGAGGGTTGAGGGTTGAGGGTTGAGGGTTGAGGGTTGAGGGTTGAGGGTTGAGGGTTTAGGGTTTAGGGTTTAGGGTTTAGGGTTTAGGGTTTAGGGTTTAGGAGGGTTGGAGGGGGAGGGTGAGGGTGAGGGTTGAGGGTTGAGGGTTGAGTGTGGAGGGTGGAGGGTGGAGGGTGGAGGGTGGAGGGCGGAGGGTGGAGGGTGGAGGGTGGAGGGTGGAGGGTGGAGGGTGGAGGGTGGAGGGTGGAGGGTGGAGGGTGGAGGGTGGGTGGAGGGTGGAGGGTGGAGGGTGCGGGGTGGAGGGTGGAGGGGGGAGGGTGGAGGGTGGAGGGTGGAGGGTGGAGGGTGGAGGGTTGAGGGTTGAGGGTTGAGGGTTGAGGGTTGAGGGTTGAGGGTTGAGGGTTGAGGGTTGAGGGTTGAGGGTTCTGGCCCAAATCTCCTTTGAGCCGGGAAAGAGGGTCACGCTCAAAATGCTGGGTACATCGATGGGCCCCTGACACCACCCCTGCCTCCCCTGCACTTGCAAGGATTGAGCTGGCTGGCACACCCCAAATCCCGCCTCAAATACACATAGATACAAAAAGATATAAAATATGGGGGGGGTCCGAAATTAGGGGTACCTCATTGGGGTCCTTATTTGTAAGGGATCCTACTATTTGCCGGACTATATTACGGCTCTCTTAATTTTCGTAAACCCCCGTATCTTCTTATTTACTTACTTACAGCCTTTTTGTACTTCCTATTTTGTTTTCTTCCGTAGGTATATGTATGTTTATACTTAGAGCGGATTACCACCAGCTAAGTAGCTCTCTAAGCCTCACACCCCTAAACCCTAAACCCACGCGCCTGTGTACATGGACACCTTGCTCAACGGCCAAGCCAATAGTGAGGCCAGGAGCGACGTCAGCGCCATCAAAGTACCGATGGACGCCTGTTTTTGGGGTTCAGTATTGAGGATTTAGGGTTTAGGGCTGAGGGTTTAAGGTTTATGGTTTGCGGCTGGGGGCTTTTAGGTTTATATAGGGCTGAGGGCTTTTGGGGTTTAGGGCTTAGGGTTTGAGGCTCTGAGCGAGTGATTCTGAGGGATTGCAGTAGAGGCGGCGTTTTGGCAAAAGAGTTGTGTGGCAAGGCACCACTAATACCAACTTCTCCACGTACGAGTATCTCTTTCCACCCTAAACCCTAAACTCAGCCAACGCCTCGAAACATTAGAGTAGCGACCCCGCCCTGTCACGCCCCTCAACACGGTGTCACGTCGAACACACGCCAAGTTATGCCAAGTCCTTGCAATACTACCTTCCGCGTAGAATACAGCGTGGCTGCTGAGGACGACAGGACTCTGTTTCCTTCTTCGTCCGAGCCTCCCGTCACCGTTTTGGGCGCGTTTGGGTCCTCCCATGCCGACGCCGTGAGCTTTGGTCTTGCGGAAAACTGAACGAAGCAGCTTTGTCACTTCCAGGCCAAAGCTCCTGCTCCCGGGCCACTCGCAGCCACCACCTGCCGACAAACGAATCTCGATAATTCTTGGGACAGGTGTGTGAACAGTTGGGCAAGCAAGCCTTAGCACGGACCGAATGTACGCACGCAATTCGAGGTCCCGCGTGGAGGTCAGTGCCTGCAGGCGACAGGACATCACCTGCGCAACACGTACATCTCCCCGGTGCCTCGTTGTGCGCCGTGATGCTGTCTCGTGCCCACTGCCCGTATCTGACACGTACCTAGCAGTGCTCGTGGCAGCCACGAATGTGCATTTTCGCGGAAGGGGCTCGGCCTCCAAGTCCTCCGTTCCTGGGCCTTGCAGTGCAAACGACGTCACCCAGATATCGCACTATAGTGAATGCCTGTGGCAAACCCGAAGGCACTGCCTGGCACAAGCCGGGAGCCGACAAAAGACGTTTCGGACAGGCACCCGAGCGGAACCGATCGATGAGCCCCAGAATTCTGTCGAAAGGTTTTCGCCAACAGCAAAGGCGCCCAAGGGAATCCCTCCGCGATGCTGTTGGCAACGGGGGGGCACTGGAACTGGGAGCCGTCCCCAAAAGAAGTCGCTCACGAAAAATTCTGTCAAAAAGTTTTCGCAAATAAATTCGCCTGCTCGGACAACTCCTTCTTCATGATACTGCACTCTGCTACGTACTCAAGTTTCGGTGCGTGTGCTGACCCACACGGCGCCAAAAAGTCTTTGCACTCTCTTGCACTCCCAGCTATGACCTATCCATCTCTTGCCACCGGAACATGACAACCATACTCAACGCCTGCTGCGACTGTACTGGGAGCCTTGAATTGAAGTGAACCTGCTTTTCGGGCAATGTCCGAAGCTTGTGACAGCTTGTGTTAAGCATTCTCATCGTCCTCGGTGTCGCTGCTGTTGTGAGCTTAGCTTGATACAAAAGGCGAGGCGAGGAATGGGTGAGAGCCGCCCTCGAGCGGCGCGGCAGGCCTGACACCCCGACGTGGCCGGATAGCCCTGGGCGCGTCGTAGCCCACGGGCAAAAGCCCGGACGGCAGCGGGAGGAGATGAGAGACGAGCAGGTTCGATGCACGTAGGTGCCTCGCACGCCTCGCCCTGTGAGACCATCGCCAGCCACCCCCTAACCCCTAATCCTGGCCCCAAAATTATGTATGTCTAGGCTGCCACAAACCGCCGGATTGGCAATCATAAAGGACTCCAAGTTGGTATCTAGTCTCGAGGCCACCGGTAAGAACCCTAAAGCCCAAAGCCCTCAATTCGAAAAAACCCTAGGTTTAGGGTTTAGGGTTCAGGGTTCAGGGCTTAGGGTTGAGGCTTTAGGGTTTAGGGTTTGGGGTTTGGGGTTTAGGGTTTAGATTTCGGGTTTAGGGTTTAGGGTTTAGGCTTTCAACCTCCAACCTTTGGCTCGGGCGGGGTGGGGGTAAACAGAAGTTTGAAAGAACCATGAAGATATGAGAGGGTTTCATCTTAAAAAGGTATGAGATAAGCTACCCCAAAGTACCTGTTCTAGTTACCCTAAAACCTAAACCCTAAACCCTAAACCCCCCCATATTGCACCCACCGCGGGTTTTGAGGCGGGCTTCGGGACTGCTTTAAGGATTTAGGGTTTAGGGTGGGTTTAGGGTTCAGGGTTAAGGGTTAGAGTTTAGGGTTTAGGGTTTGAAGTTTAAGGTTTAGGGTTTAGGGTTTAGGGTTTAGGGTGGGGTTTTCTGTTTCTTTCAGGGCTTGGGCTCTGCACCGACGCACCACAAGGTTTAGGAAAGGGGTTTAGGGTTTAG